TATTTTTTAATACGGATAATGCATTATACCACCACTCAATTTGGGTTTACTGTCTCTCTCTTTCTCTCAAAATCTTTCTGAATTTTAATTGTTGGACAATACGTTGATGTCAGTTGATATATGATTATTGGTCCTGTGAAGTCCTATGTACCTTTTAATTATGTTTAAATGTGATTGCTCTTGAGTGTTTTTTTTTTCTTCTTTTCATATCTATGTATTTAAAGTGTCAATTTATACAGTTTTATTGTACAAAGTATATATATACATATAACTATATTGTGAACCATTTTAATGCCTGCCTTTTTTTACCGTATGAAATCCAACTTATGGTCGCAATAAATGAATGATATAATAATATACCTATATAATTATGTAATATTACTAAAGGCGTCATTGGAGGGACATTTGGAGTGAACATGAGTCATTAAGTAGACATTAGGGTTAGGGTTAGGTTTAGTGTTAGGGTTAGGTTTAGGGTTAGGTTTTAGGGTTAGGGTTAGACTAAGGGTTAGGATTTGTATGATGTCCACTAAATGTACCATGTAGGGTTACATGTGTATATGTATGTATAATAGTAACGCGAAAGGAAATGAGAGAAAATTGGTTGCGTAGCTTAAATCAAAGTTCCGCATTGATGTCCTCCCTTTCAGAATCTGTTTTGCAATTAATTACTGAAGGTTGCAAATTTGTCAACCTGTAATTCCCTCAATTGAATCTGCCGTCCCCGAAGCCAGTGGCCCGTCTCCGCGGTATTGTGGTGTAGGCTTGTTATTGGCGTTCTATGCCGGTGCACCAGGTGCGTATCAGGCGGAGATACTTTTTCAACCCCTGCACAAAATGTCCAAAGGGAGGACAGCAATAGGGAACTTTGATTTAAACTACGTAATCGTTACTCTTTCATTCCTTTCGTGTGGTATTTATTTTCAGGAGAGATGTTGTATAAGTTATTTCCTTTCATTTATACATTTATATATATAATATGTATATATAAATAATATATATATACCAATTAGTAATAAGATAATATCAGAATGTCGGAATACCACTCTGGTCCATAACGTTTTGACCTATGACCACGCCACCTCTCACCCCTCTCTTTTTCTCTCTTCTCTCTCTCTCTCTCTCTCTCTCTCTCTCTCTCGCCTCTCGCCTCCCTCGTCTCTCTCTCTCTCTCTTCTCTCTCTCATCTCTCTCTCTCTCTCTCTCTCTCTCTCATCTCTCTCTCTCTTTCTCTCGCCTCTCTCATCTCTCTCTCTCTCTCTCTCCCCCCTCTCATCTCTCTCTCTCTCTCTCTCTCTCTCTCATCTCTCTCTCTTTCTCTCGCCTCTCTCATCTCTCTCTCTCTCTCTCTCTCTCTCATCTCTCTCTCTTTCTCTCTCTCTCTCTCTCTCTCTTTCTCATCTCTCTCTCTCTCTCTCTCTCTCTCTCTCTCTCTCTCTCTCTCGTCTCTCTCTCTTTATCTATAATATATCGGAGATAAGTCCACGTGTTGGCATAAAATGACGTAACAAAACTATGAAGAAGAGAAGACTCATGCATGCAATCCAACGATATTTGAGTAGGTCACGAATTACTTAGGCTTTGCGGGTGGTTACTTTTGAGGTGCTTCTCATGGTATATCGCATGCTTTGTGTATTATTTTGTATTATCATTTTTCTTTTAGTTGATTGTAGCGTGCTCAAACTCTACACCAAGATATTTCTTTGAGCTGTAAAGCGTTTCCAAGGTAATGCGCCTTAATTGATACCTTCATTTAAACTATTTCCGCATTGCTTTGGAAGCGCTATAAAAATCATGAATGCTAATTTTTGTCCTATCCACTTGATACCGACGCTACGTACGTCGAAAATTCGGGACCTAATGAAACCTGTCGGATTTAAAGCATGACACTTCCCCTTTTCTTCATTTTATGCTCCTTGATATCAATAAGTATGCATTGTATAATTATATACAATGTATATATACATACACAGTGCATACTTATAGATAGGATCGTGGAATATACACGAGAAGTGAAAGGAGGACATACTGAGAATGGACTGCATAATGATTCCAATAGACCCATAAACTTGAAAATTCCAGTTGCATTTATTAGTCTTATAACATCTGTCTAATAGATTTACACAACAAACGGGTATGAACAAAAGCTCCATTATCCCCGTTAAGAAATTCAACTAAACAAAATGGCTTGAACCGAAATATCTTTTTCTGATCTTATCTTATCTATCATAAGCTACACAATTTTTTGTTACGATACGAATTACGATTACGAATTTAATGTTAATCACTGTTAGAGGGTGTCATACATCTTTGTGAATATCTTCGTGGTTTCAGATTTTTTTTCCAGGATTGTTTGCATGTCAGAAGGTTAGTACAGTAGAAGGAATATAGTGAGTAACATTATATACACAAATTAAGCAATTTTTCATCAACCTTTAACAATGTTACCAAGTCACTTTCAAACCACTTTAGGGTTCAATAGACTCGATGGGCCAGGAGACCAACAACCGTCAAGACCGACATGTTCCTATCTTCTTTTGTTTATTTCTATGTTTTGTCGGTCTCGTGGGCTGTCGGTCTACTGCGATGACCTTCAAAATAATAATTCGTTGCAATTATAATTACTTACATTAAATGTAAAAGAGAAACCCCAAAACCTTAGCTTAAGGTAAATGTATACAATAAAAATAAGTATCTAAAATACGTATAGTTCATTTTTAAGCATATGCAATCTATAAACTATAACACAGCAAATGAATTTGACTCTATTAGTTCATATTACAGGCCTTTAAATTCAGTGGTATACTCATTATCTGTTTGCAGTACTCAATAAAAATGCACTAATTGAAAATGAAAATAACCGTACAGAGGCAACCTCGATCAATATCTCCGTCGCACATGAAATACAAAAGGCTGTCATTTTTTAGAAAGTAGGGGTAGTAAATTAATAATAGTTATGATGTTGCTGCTCATTGCCTTTTGGAGCTACAATATAACATTGAGTCTTTTAATTAAAGGTAAATTGTCTTTCATTTCCAATGATCGTGCAGCTGAGAATGTTTCCTTATTTGCTGACAATTTAGTGTTTTAAATTCCATAAATAGAATAATCGATGAAAAAAAGATGAACGTATTATAAAATGTACACACAATGCTTTATTCATCATTATATATATATATGATTTGATTTGATTTGATTTGATTTGATTTGATTTGATTTGATTTATTTACCAACAGCAACAGCAATACATTTCATACAATAATTTACATATACAAGAAGAGAAACCATTGGTTGGTAAAAGGGGCCAGATAATAGCACATGTGCTAGTCGAGCCTAACCCCTTAAACAGCTTAACAAAGTATTTTGGTACAAATCAGTTTAAAGAACGTAACAAAACAAAAATAATTAATTTACTCTTACAATCGATACTTAAAAAAAGAAAAAAGAAAAGAATCAGTACTCAACGATGTCTTACAATATACAAACTAATAGTGTAAAATATGAATTATGAACTGTGTACATATGAGATTTGTATATATAGATATATATATATATATATATATATATATATATATGACAAGATCTACCACTACACTACACTACACGATTTGACTTAGAAATGGTACAAAATAATGAATATTTATCTCAATGCATTCAGCAACGAAAAGTAAGATCAGAAAAAATAAGAGAGGACGTTGTACATGATCAAATGAAGAATAAAAAGAAACAAGAAATGTAGAGGAATTAAAAACAAGTAATGTTTTTCTAATTTAAAAAAGGGATGAGAGGAACAAAACAAGATAATGGTGAGAATAAAGGTGGACAGAGAGAGAGAGAGAGAGAGAAAGATATAACGATGGGTAGACGGGGAAGGGACGGAGAGGTAGAGAAGAGAAGCAAGGAAGGGGGAAGAATGAGAGAGAAGAGACAGTGAATTTGATAGGGAAGGAGAGACAGAGAAGCAAGTAGAGAAATAAAGAGAGAGAGAGAGAGAGAGAGAGAGAGAGAGAGGGGGGGGGGAAGCAGAAGGGGATATAGAAAAATAAAAAAAAATAGGGACAAAAAGGGAAAGGAAGAACATACATGAACAAAGGAGAACTGAAATAACTTTCTATTATATCATATGTTTTTGTAGTAGATAACACCATTGTGTGAACGATTCATTCATGTATTTTTTAAATAATAGTCATCGAAATTTCATTAACAATGTGGTTGTGGTATAAGTGATATAAGAAGCAAATATTAATCTTGAAGTGGCGTGTTCAAGGTTCTCTATATACACGTCAATGTCTACAAATTTGATGAGATTTTAATGATTTTTCATCACCAGTTTGCATTTCCTTGTGAATAAAATTAAACGGAATCAGTGTGAAAGATTCCTAAATATTTGAAATGCTTAATGGCTTTACCATAACAATGGTCAACTAACCCCCGACAAAACAAACAATCAAATAGATAAAAAAACAAAAACAACCAAATAACAATAAAACAAATGAACGAAACATAACAGAAATAATGATAAACACTTGTTATAAAATGTTAGTATTTTCTTGTAATTCAGATATGGCTGGTAATGCACGATGAAAATTATGATGAAAGTTCAGTAAAGTACATGATACTTCATTTTAAGTCATTGCATTGATAAAAAGAACATATAATTACATTACTGACCAACTTGTTTCTTACTTAGCAATGAGCGAGACATTCCATAAGCAACAACACATGCTATTGACATGCACAGAATGGCGTAAGAAAAAAGGGTAACAAGTATGTTAGCCCAATCTATAGAATACATATTCACTATTTTACAAAGATGGATGGAGTACAACAACTATGAATCAAAGTGATAAAATTGAAGGGAAAAAAGAAATAAAGATAAAACCATGTTGAAACAGAGACATGTAGGGGTATATGCAATGGAAAACTTCACCTCAAATTAGTAGTCAACCCTTAACAAAAAGAATGTTATCCCCCCACCCCCCCCCCCCCTCAGCATGGTGGGGGAAAAAGAATAGAATATTCCGGGCTCTCCTCGCAAATTAGTGTTTAAAGTATCAAAATAATATTGGTGCAAACATTTATTCCACCCCTGATGTGATGACTACCATGATGAATTAATAAAATCTACGTTCCTTTAAATATTATGAAGAAATTTGTATCCCGAGTTGTTACTGGGCCTGGGAAGGGTGACGATAATATGACCGTTGTTTGACTATGACATGACCACGGTAAAGTTGATAATTAGCAGGGGTGAGTTCACCGAGAAAGAACTGGAGTATCTGGCCTGAAAACGGTTCTGGAATTCCACCACTTGCATGCTTCCAGAATGTATTATTCTCAAAAGCAGCTAGTAACTACAACAAAAATGATAATTGAAAGTTCATGAAGTAAATTGGGTGGATTATATTGTACACAAAGGTTTGATTGGACTTCAGCTCTTTTTCATACTGCATGCAGGCAGAATATATTATTTTCATATGTATGTAACTACAACGAAAAAGAACTACTGTAAATTAGTGCATGGTTACATTTCATTTGCAATCACACACGCAAAGCTTTAGACAGAAAAGTATGTATTGACAACGGCTCCCGCAATGTTCCATGTAGAGAGATTATATACATAAAGGTTAATTTGGACTTCAGCTCTTGTCATCTTCATAATGACAATTAGTACATTTCATTTGCATTCACAATCACACACATAAAGCTTAATGCACAAAGGGTTGGCGCATCTACGTACTACAAACAAAAGGATGCATACATTGATAAATTATCCACAATTACACGAAAAGCAAGGGACACAAAGGCGTGGAATGACTATGAATCTTGCAATGTGCATTCGGCATGCAGATAGATTGCTTTATTTCTAAAGTTATCAAATAATTACAACGAAAGGGAATTGGTTCACAGATTTCTAAACTTCAATATCTCATATTTTTCATGAGCACCTTGCGTAAACGTCACATTGAATGAGTAGAAGCTATACCAAAATTATGCTCCTCCAACGGAATTGAGCAAAATTCTCTTTCAATTTAATAAAATGACGTGTAGATGACGTCATGTGGTAGAATTATACAGGTCATCATTGCATAGGTCAAACAGACGTCGTATTTGATTCTTTATCTGTGCCAAGTCAAGAAACACTTATCCCATCGATATATTGATCAATATGTGATACATGTATTTCCGTAATGAAAATTGCATGTTTTTACTAGATTTCAAATGAAAAAAGGAAAATAAATTTCTTGTATTCCTTTGCGAAACTTTAATATAAAATGTCCAAAGAGCATCTCCGTTTGAAAAAGAAAATGTATGCAATTCGCATCCTGAGTTTTGAATTACAGGTGAATGATATAATTTGTAACGAGGCACTAAACAAAGATTCTTTCATTAAATTTGATTAAATAACGAAAATCGTCAATTGAATCATAAAGTATTTGTAAATATATATATCAAAATTTGAGTTCTAAAATGCCCATAAGACTCTTCGCGAGCATATGAACGACAAAAACAACAAAAATAAAATCAACACAGAAAGGAGCGGATTTGCATGCAACACATGACCTTGACTCGGTTGTTTTCGAAAACAAACAGACATGCTGGGATTTGGTTGGTTTAAATTTGGTGGAAGAACAAGCGCTCAACAAATGATTTGATGTACTCACCTGTCACCGTAACAGTAAATGAACATGAGTGTTGGTTTGATGTACTCACCTGCCACCGTAACAGTAAATGAACATGAGTGTTGGTTTGATGTACTTACCTGTCACCGTAACGGTAAATGAACATGAGTGTTTGTTTGATGTACTCACCTGTCACCGTAATAGTAAATGAACATGAGTGTTGGTTTGATGTACTCACCTGTCACCGTAACAGTAAATGTACATGAGTGTTGGTTTGATTTACTTACCTGTCACCGTAACAGGAAGTGAACACGAGTGTTTGTTTGATGTACTCACCTGTCACCGTAACAGTAAATGAACATGAGTGTTTGTTTGATGTACTCACCTGTCACCGTAACAGTAAATGAACATGAGTGTTGGTTTGATGTACTTACTTGTCACCGTAACAGTAAATGAACATGAGTGTTTGTTTGATGTACTTACCTGTCACCGTAACAGTAAATGAACATGAGTGTTGGTATGATGTACTTACTTGTCACCGTAACATTAAATAAACATGAGTGTTTGTTTGATGTACTTACCTGTCACCGTAACAGTAAATGAACATGAGTGTTGGTTTGATGTACTTACCTGTCATCGTTACAGTAAATGAACATGAGTGTTTGTTTGATGTACTTACCTGTCACCGGAACAGTAAATGAACATGAGTGTTGGTTTGATGTACTTACCTGTCACCGTAACAGTAAATGGACATGAGTGTTGGTTTGATGTACTCCCCTGTCACCGTAACAGTAAATGAACATGAGTGTTGGTTTGATGTACTCACCTGTCACCGTAACAGTAAATGAACATGAGTGTTGGTTTGATGTACTTACCTGTCACCGTAACAGTAAATGAACATGAGTGTTGGTTTGATGTACTTACCTGTCACCGTTACAGTAAATGAACATGAGTGTTCGTTTGATGAACTGTCTGTGGCTGTGACAGTGACTGTCGTTGGACCCAGAGGAAAAACAGAACCTGGCCCTAGAGGCTCATAGGTCAACGCTGGTGCAGGATCAACATTGTCTGTGACATCCACCGGGAATGATACAGTGAGTGTATCGGAGGTGAAGTCAGCTGGGCATTCGACCACAGGATTTACATTATCTGACAACAAAATTATAAAATGTAAAGTTACCTACATCTTTGAAAAACTACGTTGATTCATATTTCTTGTGTATTTTTTTTTAACTAGTAATTTCTCAGATATTTAGTGAAAACAAAATATGTTTGGGGATGCAGGAAGAGGTTTGAAAGGCTTCAACCCCGAACAAAATAGTATACAAATGTGACAAGATGCATAATCATAAAGCAAAATTTCAGGAAAAAACATGCATCGAAGAAAAAGTTAAGAAGGTAAATATGACAAAAACACAAAATCCAATTTGATAGCATGCACATACATCAACATATCAATAATAAGTAAACAAACGTTAAAGTGGTGGCAACGACAATATTCTAAATAGATTATTTAAGAGTTGGTTGTAAAATTGCACGTAGGTGTCATTGTCAGGTAATTTTTTGTCAGACAATTTACTAGTAGATCAATAAATAACTGAGTATACTCATGCAATCATGACAATGTGGGAGAAAATATTTGTATTATTTCAACAAGAAGAATCATTTACTCTTATATCAAAATATCCTAAGTATGAAGATAGATCTTTAGTGAGGTTTGGGAAGCTGAGAGAATTGGGCTCTTTATTACTTTGCACGGGAGCATGATCCGATCGTTGATAGGTCTTACATAAAATGAGTTCTTGTAGTAATCGGGTTTAGCGTAAGGTATGAATTTGAATTTTATTAGTAAACTTCATTCATATACATAAACATTTTGTTTCAAAATACATAAATAAAAAAAAAATATATATATAAGAAATTCAACAAGTGATATAGTTTCTCGAGTAATCACAAATTAACATAAAACAATGTAGCTTGTATATACAGTGGTAAATGATATTATAACAAATTAATTATACGACACGTACCAGCCTATGTTTGACAATAAAGATACATAACAAATGGGAATGATAATTTCGATATTGATTTTCTAAAAGAACGGATGGAATGTTGAAATTCCCCTCGAGTATTTATGATTGTTTTAATATACTTACAGAAGTACTCCATTATATTTTCATTCTCCAGTTTCATAATGCTTACAAATTTCTCTTCATCGCTAAGATCTTTAAACTGTCCAGATATTTCAGCCATTTTTTGGAGAAATACCCTCCTTTCAGCCTTATATACAGTACAATCCATTATGGTATGACATTTATCGCCAACCCTTCCCAAGTTACAGTCATTACAAGTTCTTAAATGTGAAGGTATTTTTTCCGGACGTCTATCGGTAGGTTATGTGAACTAATTCTAAATCAGCAGATATTTGTTCGTAGTTTACGGTTTTTAACGGTTAATAAATATTTCTTTGTTTGTATACTCTGCTTAAATAGATTTTATGTTCTCAATTTATTTTGTTCATTGCCATTTACACAATCACTACATAGATCCATCAATAACTGTCGGTGGTAACTTCCATTTAGGTTTCTATTTCTTTTCCAACTACTCTATCACTATCGGTAATATCATCCAGTTCTAAACAACCATCATTTTCATCCACAAATAATTTAAATCCCGTGAGAAGCTAGTGCATATTTCCTAGCCAGCATTCACAATTATGTTCAGTCATCTTTTTGTTTTCTTGGAGAGAGTGGTAGAATAATGAATCAATACTTATATTTCTCATTCGTGCATAATTTTTCGACACATTTGTATAATTAAAGGGTACGATCCATCTTCGCATAGTATTACCAGATGGCTGCTTTTTTTATTAACACCTAAAACATTTCTCGACCATTGGAAGTGAACACTCTGTATTTCATTTCTTAAATAAGTTTTGGGGTTACCTTTTACAAGTTTCGCTAACTTGTCAAAGTTGACGGTAAAAGCGCCCCACATATACCTCTGATCCATACATAAGTATTGGTTTTATCAAAGAGTCAAATAATCGTGTTGCTATTTTTATATTAGGGAGGTGATATCCGAATGATTGGAATAATTTAAACAAAACTCTCTTTGATTTATCTGCTAGATTAACCCTCGTGTCCTTGAATGTAACAAAATTATTAAATACAGGACCTAAATATGTTGCCTGTCTAACAATTTCAATGTTTTTACCAGTCACCTTGAAATTCTGTTCTTTCAAAATCTTTACGTTCTTGTTACAAATAATCATTTTCGTTTTGTCTATATTAACATTCAACAGCCATTTATTACACATCAAGTCTATCTAACAATGTTTGCCTTCCACTTCTTGACTTTGATACCAATACAATGTCATCTGCATACATTAAACAGTTCACTAACTTTCCATTCAATTCCACGGGATGAGTATCAATAGTTCCCAACTCACGCGACAGGTCATTTAGATATAGGTTAAACAGACTGGGACTTATACAGCCTTGTTTTAAATCACTACTGGTTTTAAAATACTGGGTAATCCCTTCATTGAGCTTTACACTCAGTTTTAGGTTTTTATACATGTTAGTAATAATTTCGTAATCTGGCCTCAGATTCCACATGTCAACATTTTATAAAACAATCCTTTCCTCCAAACACTATCAAAGGCTTTCCGCAGATCGACAAAGCACAAGTAGACATGACTCTTTTCACAAGCCTTGTTTGTTCTCGCTTATTTGTCAATCATGGTTTTAAGTGTAAATATATGGTATGTTGTTCTCTTGCCTTCCCTGAAGCCTATTTGATTCTGGACATATAAATGGTTATCTATTAGGTATTTGACCAAACGTCTGTTTGAAATACTGCAAAATAACTTTCCAACTGAGCTCGAGAGACATATACCTCGATAGTTGGCTGGGTTAGTTTTACAACCTCCTTTACTCAATGGAGTTATATAGCTTTCAGACCACTTTGGGGGGAACTATGTACCTTCATGTTGTTATATATGCTAAAGGTGTGGCCCTGGGCCACTAAATCTACCAGTTATTTATGATTTTTACTAAATTTCTAGATTTTTTTTCTTCTCGTGGATTTAGCTCCTTTCGGAATGAAACAGATCTAGCTCCGTTTGGAATAAAACAGGGATACGTTTTTTACTTTCTTTTATTTTTTTTTTTTTTTAGTGATGATTTCACTATCATTACTTAAGAGGAAAGGTTTGCTACTAGATTTAAATAAATTTCAGTGACTTTATTGAAGAAAGAAAAAAAATTGTTTATACACACATTATCCTATCACGCAACCTGTTAACTTTTGAGAATATTCTCCCTCACCATTTTTAAGCACAAAGATCACTTCTTGCAGAACCTTAGATAAATGTAACAATTAGACAAAAATGTTATGATTCAAAGTTTTCATTTGAGAACCAATAATCATCATGACTCAAGAGTAAAAAGCACTATCAATGTTTAAACAAAATCAAAAGTGCTTTGAGAGTGGATATACAGTGATCTCTTTTCTCTTCTTCTAAAATGAATAAAATAATTTCAGTTGCACCAGGCAAGTATATAAAAAAATATATATAAATAGCGTAAAGAGATTTTGTAAATTTGTGCAGACTTGACTGAATAAATTGTTAAATATTGATATCTGTGTTTGATGATTAAAAGAATAAATAAAAACCTAAGATTATAACGGTTTTGAAATAGATGACGTTATCAAGATAATAATGACCAAATACCAATGTTTATAAAACCATAATGGAGTACACTTTAGTATAACACTGCAGTCTATGGGGGAAACAGTCTCGCATTTCTGGTTATTTAGATGTTTCTTCCTTTGATGAAGCACATAATGATGCTTTTTGAGGTGCATTTTCATTGATTCATTTTTTTACATAATATTATCTAAGCTTCTGCTTTATTTTTGGAGCAACGACGATCACAGGCAGAATCTTTTGGATTTGGATTTAGCTCCTTTGGGAATGAAACGTGATATTGTTCATCGAATTGTTCATACTTCCTGGTTAAATTTTAGAATGTGCATTTTGTTCCTATGTAGGAAATAATTATTTCAAGACATTAAAAAAATTAAGACAAAAAAAAATATATATATATATTTTGATAAAATATGGATTAAGCTCCTTTTGGAATCAAGCTTTTCAATTATTTATACATTCTTGTAATAAGTTGTTTATTTCTTGTTATCTAAAGCGCCTAGAAACGATATTATGTCAAGTACTATATCATTACAACTGTACGGACTGGCGATGCAGCTGCTATCGTGTGCAGATGTTATGTTCTGTACATAAAGGTTTAATTATCATATGAGAGAGAGAGAGAGAGAGAGAGAGAGTTTACTTAGAATTTAATTTTACACGTAAAACAGCCAAACAGCAATATATTAAGGTCACTCACCTGTCACCGTAACAGTAAATGTGCATGAGTCTTCGTAATAGAACCAGTCTGTGGCTGTGACAGTGACTGTCGTTGGACCCAGAGGGAAGGTAGAACCTGGCCCTAGAGGCTCATACCTCAACTCTGGTGCAGGGTCAGCATTGTCTGTGACAATCGCTGAGAATGATACAGTGAGTGTATCGGAGGTGAAGTCAGCTGGGCATACGACCTCTGGTTTCTGTCCATCTGTCAACAATAATAAAATGCAAAGTTTGTAAACTACGTTGATTTGTATTTCATGTATATTTGTATTTGTGGGGATGCTGGACAAAGTTTGAACAAAGGGCTGCATCCCCGAAAATAATGATAAAGGAAACAAATATGACAAGATACGTTATAATAAAACAAGATTTGAAACATGTGACGGTTAACAACAAGTATAGTGATGGTTATTTGTACCTGACAGGTTAGAAATCATAAATGCTTGCGAGTAAGCAACAAGACGGCCGACGGCTTTAGGTCCTCTCCGAGGGACATGGTAGTGAGGATTAATATCTTACCTAAGAACCTATTAAGTGCATTGACTTGATTTCGAACCCGGGTCACCGGATTACGAGACCATTGCTCTACCGACTGAGCTATCGCGCCTCCAAAGAAATACTTCAATGAAAGGTAAAATTTACAATAGAAAAACTGAAGTATTGGACAGTGGCAGACTTTTCCATTGGGAGTTCGATGAGTTTCTCCCCTCCAGGCCGCTTGCGGATATCTATCAATGGGTTGGTCAGGGGATTCTTTTTTCATCTAAATTCCCTCAACCAAATGTCAGTCCCAGACTGGCCTTAGAAATGAGGTCCACTAAGCCCCTGTCACACCAAAACGGTTATCGAGGCCATGACCACCCATGTCATATTCTTGTACATGTACGTTCTCTTTCCATAGGTTTAAGATACTATGTCCCTTTTGTAGCCAATATCAAATTCTGTAGAATTTTGCAGGAATTATGAATATGTCATGTATGTCGTATTCTGTAAAATTTAAACGTTAGCAGTGTCCTAATATTCAAATTATGCAAGGAAATCTGTTTACTTGCTAGACTTCACTATCAGACAATATTGCGTGAGCGACTGGCTTTTTTCTTCTGTGGTAATAACATCCATTACATGAGCTGTAAAGGGTACATGAGCATTTGTCTACATCACTAACACACTTCTTGTTATGGCCAAAATTAAACTGATTGAATCTTTGCACATCATCAAACGTATGACCATTCGGTACAAAGGTCTGAAAATCAGACTATTACTTACTGGCTCTATAGCTCTTAAGTCGATTCGACAACTAATAGTCATTATTTTCCCACTTAAAGACATTTCCAAGCCCCCCCCCCCCCCCACTTTTTTTTTTTTAGGGAAGTTCTTATTTAGTATTATCTTTCAAATGCCGTTGGAATTTAACCTTTTTTTGTTTGGGGGGGGGGGGCCTGCAAATGGGACATAGTACCTTTAAACCAGTTACAAGTACCATCGCTATCTGACGTTCGTGGAGATAATTGCCAGGTCCACCACTCTATAGTACGTGGATAAAGTCGTGTTATACCTCCCTTCTATTCTCTTGAAGACATTCGTCTGTTTTCATGTGCATCGCGTCATAGCTTGCAAACATATTTATCAGTTCACTATCGTTAAGACCTGCCCTTCGTAAAAGGTGATTGATAACACCCGATATCGTGTAAATAGCCGAAGGGTGTAAATTAAACATAGAAACACACGATTATACGTGTCTCCAAAGTGACTCGGTTGAAGGTTAATGAAAAAACATTTGATACAAAAATTACTTATTAAATTCCTTCTACTGTACTAACCCCCTAACAGGCAAAACATCCTGAGAAAATCCTCGAACCACGAAGGTATGTATGATTTTCTTTGAAGGCATCACTGTGCAACAGCCTCTAACAGTGATTTACAGTAAATTCTCCCAACCATTTTTGAATTTTCCCAACCGTTTTGCCTTCAAAATAAGACATGAGACAGGCTTTTAAAATTATTTCAACACTTAAATGTCTGGAATTGAATAAAGAGCCAATTCATTGCTGTGTGACTATTTACATTCACCTAAAATGTAATTAAATTGTAATAATATAGCTGGGAGAATTAAGGAATTGATCAAAACAGTTTTTCCAAAATATTATCATTAATAATGGTGCACTCAAACTTTCAGATTAGCCTTAATTGTACATCTAGCATTGAAGTCACTACCTTAGCACCATTTTCTCTCATTTTAACAATGTTACCAAGAACCAGAAAAATAAAAACGACCTCACAAAAATTTGCTGGAAATCATCTTCAATAAAAACCACAACTCTCATTTGCACATAATAATTGTCCTGTGTTATAAGCAAATGGTTTCTGGCCTACTTCCTTACATTGTATGCTCCTTTCTCAGCCCTTATACGTTTTCTCTCGAAATCGTGTGGCGCATTCATTTGTTTGTTGGATTTTGTTATCACTACCAGTACTCAAGTTTATCTTTACATGTACTACATTGTATGTCTCATTTGCAGGCCAAAAAATGAAAAGGTTAAATTTCAACGGCATTTGAAAGACAATACGTATTTAGAACTGCCGTCAAAACGAAAGGGCTTGAAAATGGCTTTTAGTGGGAAAATAACGAGCATTGTTTGTCGAATCGACTTAAGTCATTGCAATCACCTAATGCGGTGGTCACATCCCGCCGTACTTGCAAGTACGTGCTGTCTACGTGCAAAAACGTGGGCAAAATTTGGGTATCCGTACGTGATGAGTACCGCCTCCGTACGGATTTGAGAGCACGCAGACACACCGTAGCACTTTTAGTGCACGAGGAACTTTCGCTGCGTTCGGGCTGCGTTCGGGCTACCGATTCACCCCAGTGCGTGTGACGTGCGTGCCCGGTACTGCCAACGAGCGCACAACGCACTGACTCCGTGCGTCTTTTGAAGGCGCACGTGATAAGTGCGTGGTCCGTGCTTACTCGCCACTTCCCCAGTTCAGCTATCAAATGAGCACGTAGAACTCACGTGGACCGTACCGAGTGAGCACTTACAACGCACGTTGTTCGTACTGATTTATGCAGTATATAGTCTCTTCGGTGAAATAGGCGGCATCTTGAGGCAGCAACAGCTGGGACTTCTGGAGAACATCGGAATGTCGTCCTACATATACACCGAGTTCATCGCACGTGCACGCACTTGCAACATGCGTGTGAGTAAGGACACCGTACGTGAGCAGCACTTGTAAGTACGGCCACCGTGCGATAACGTGGCAACCGCACGGAGACCGTACGTTGTAAGCACGTACAACGCACTTATCACGTGCGCAACGTACGATGCACGCAACCGTTCACGGCCAGGCGTGGCGTGCGGGCCACGTACTTACACAGTGCGTGTGACGCGCGTTGCCGGTACTCCCTCCCTGCCTTTGCCACTCCCTCCCTACGTTTTCAGAAAAACGTGGCGGCCGTGGCCTCCCCAAAAACCGTACGGACTAAAAACACGCATGGTGGGATGTGACCAACGCTTTAGTAATTGTCAGACCCTTTTACCGAATGGTCGTACGTTTTGTGCTGCACAAAGATTCAATCAGTTTAATTTTGGCCATTACAAGTAGTGGGTTATTTATGTAAACAAATGCCCATGTATCTGTTACAGCTCATTTTATGTATGTTATTACCGAAGAAAACAAGTTTTCAGTTAGTCACTCAAAAGTGTCTGACAGTGAAGTCTAGAAGGTAAACGGGTTTCCTGCATAATTTGAATACTAGGACACTGCTAATATTCAATTTTTACAGATAGGACAGAGCCTACGTGACATATTCATAAATCTTGTAAATTTTTACAGAACTTGACGTTGGCTGCAAAAGGGACATAATATCTTTACAGGGCAAGTCCACTCAAAACTATCTAACTATCAACAGAAGCAGAAAAAATCAGACAAACCCATCAAAACAAGTTTGGGCAAAGTCGGAAAACTAATAAGAAAGTTTTGAATTTGTAATTTCATGACGAACGTTGAAAATCTCACGCGAACCCATGACTACGTGTCTAGTGTGTTGCATTCCCGTATGTATGTTTTTAGGGACCCGATGGGAGACCAACTGATGTTGAATGGGCTACCCCGTACGAATAAATAAATTAAAAAATAAAAAATATAAGAGGCCTATTACCTTTCGCTCACGAGGCCATATAACTGCTTTAATACCTACGTAAATAAAAAAAAAACCTACCTGTAATAATCAAGTATGAAAAAGCAATCAGCCCAAACGTAACAAACTTAGCATTGTGTGTACTCTTCAATGTGCAGGTGTGATATCACCCTCACGCAGCGCGTCAAGGACCGCACTGGTAAAATGAAAGAAAATGATAGACCGATATATACAAAGAATAACATAAGAGAAGGTGAAAGAAGGAAGAAACAAATAATAACATAAGAAATAACATAAGGAAAGACAGAAAGAGAAAGTGATAGAATGGTAAAAACAAAGAATAACATAAGGAAACACAAAAAGAGGGAGTGATAGAATGATAAAAAACAAAGAATAACATAAGAGAAGGTGATAGAAGGAAGAAACAAAGAATAACATAAGGAAACACAAAAAGAGGGAGTGATAGAATGATAAAAAACAAAGAATAACATAAGAGAAGGTGATAGAAGGAAGAAACAAAGAATAACATAAGGAAACACAGAAAGAGGGAGTGATAGAATGATAAAAAAAACACAGAATAACATAAGAGAAGGTGATAGAAGGAAGAAACAAAGAATAACATAAGGAAACACAGAAAGAGGGAGTGATAGAATGATAAAAAACACAGAATAACATAAGAGAAGGTGATAGAAGGAAGAAACAAAGAATAACATAAGGAAACACAGAAAGAGGGAGTGATAGAATGATAAAAAAACACAGAATAACATAAGAGAAGGTGATAGAAGGAAGAAACAAAGAATAACATAAGGAAACACAGAAAGAGGGAGTGATAGAATGATAAAAAACACAGAATAACATAAGAGAAGGTGATAGAAGGAAGAAACAAAGAATAACATAAGGAAACACAGAAAGAGGGAGTGATAGAATGATAAAAAACAAAGAATAACATAAGAGAAGGTGAAAGAAGGAAGAAACAAAGAATAAAATACGGAAACACAGAAAGAGGAAGTGATAGAATGATAAAAAAAACAAAGAATAACATAAGAGAAGGTGATGGAAGGAAGAAACAAATAATAACATAAGGAAAGACAGAAAGAGAAAGTGATATAATGATTAAAAAACAAAGAATAACATAAGAGAAGGTGATAAAAGGAATAAACAAAGAATAACATAAGGAAACACAGAAAGAGGGAGTGATAGAATGATAAAAAACACAGAATAACATAAGAGAAGGTGATAGAAGGAAGAAACAAAGAATAACATAAGGAAACACAGAAAGAGGGAGTGATAGAATGATAAAAAACACAGAATAACATAAGAGAAGGTGATAGAAGGAAGAAACAAAGAATAACATAAGGAAACACAGAAAGAGGGAGTGATAGAATGATAAAAAACAAAGAATAACATAAGAGAAGGTGAAAGAAGGAAGAAACAAAGAATAAAATACGGAAACACAGAAAGAGGAAGTGATAGAGTGATAAAAAAAACAAAGAATAACATAAGAGAAGGTGATGGAAGGAAGAAACAAATAATAACATAAGGAAAGACAGAAAGAGAAAGTGATATAATGATTAAAAAACAAAGAATAACATAAGAGAAGGTGATAAAAGGAATAAATAAAGAATAACATAAGGAAACACAGAAAGAGAAAGTGGTAGAAGGAAGTGATAAAGAATAACATAAGAGAAGGTGATAGAAGGAAAAGCAAAGAATAACAAGGAAAGATAGAAAGAGGAAAGTGTTTGCATCGGAGTGCCGCGCATGCGCATTACCAACTGAAACACGCCAAAACATCACTGAGCTTTTCAGTCGGTGATGTTTCCTCACAAGTGTAAACGGGTGCGCGAAACATCGCGACTTTTCAAAATGAGGTATTTGACAGTATACATGCGCCCTAAGTGTTATTTAGGGTACGCGTATGCATGCTCCCTCCTTTTGAAAACACCCCCTAAGTCCGGTGTGTAAAGTCGATACGGGCCGGATTTTTGTGCATTGCGAGCTGGACTTTGGTGCGTGAAAAGTACCCCTTTACCGGTCATTTTGGGAACACGCATGCGGTCCCTTTGACCCCGGAGTGGGTGCCTCGATCGTGTGCAAGGGGAATGACCATGCATGCACTCAACAATAATTACCTTCAACATAGAAGTCTACAGTGCATTCGTAGCTTAGCTGTGTGTCGCTGATCCTGGTGGTCAAAATATGAGTTGGTTCGACCGGGAACATGAATGGTGGTCCAGCCAGTGGTGGACTGGTTAAAAATTGAACAGTAGGCATTCCGCTGGATCCATGGTAGTAATACATGTCTCGTGTTTGGACATCTCCGTGGCTGTAAAAATTTGAAGGGTCGAACGTATATGTGGCTGCGTCGTTATCAGTGGTTACAATTCTGAAGATGGCCTCCTCCAAAAAGCAATTGGTGACTGGTAACTCAACGACTGTTGAAAAAGTATAAAGGTTCCATGTACCAAACTGCTAAATATATTCAGAAAATCCACATGTTAGGCCAAATTTTAAAAAAAAATGTTTAGCGTCCTACTTTTTTCAAAAATAGGAAGGAGGAGGCCCCTTTTTTTATCTTCTTCAAAATGGCCGGTCAAAATGGCCGCTCGGTACATTTTCCCTGACAGTTGGGCTATTTTTCAAGATGGCCGCCGGCATTAAAAAAAAAAAAAATCAGACATAGATTCATTTTAGCAGTGTTTTTCATCCAAAAATCAACCAAAAAAATCGAGGTGGCCCCCCAAAAGGAAGCGGGCGGGGACGCTAAACATGTATATTTTTTAATGGCCTTACTATTTGAATGAATAAATTGGACTTTTTCCAATATAACGAGAACTATTTTACAGTTTGAAGAAAGATAACAAAAGTCTAGGAGGTTCCACCTAAACCTACAGGACAATGCATGTTTTCTTTTTATCTTGAACAAACGAAATCTCATCTCAGGTTAAAAACGTAAAACAAAGGAACATCGTACACCATGCAGTGGCCGGAGCTACACCTCCGTTGCGTGCCGTATAGACAGATGAACGGCATTCAACCATGTGGTAACATCGAGAGAAAACTGCCTGCGTACAGAAAGGGTTTTTACACACAAGACTTATTACATTGCCTCCAATAGAGCCAGCTGATTGTCCAATAAATCATGTCAAAGTATTTTGTAAACTTCTGAATTTGTTTCATAGATTTTAAAATATTTTTTGAAATATTTGTTTTTCAAACTTGCTAAGCTCCACCCCAAAAACCTCCAGATCTCATTCCCCTTGTGACATCATCTGACTGCCTCGTGTGTAACGGGTTTACATTCATGGTTAGCAGAAACTGTTTCTTACGTGTATTGATGATTAGGATTTCACATGTCGAAGGAATACCGCAGAGATCCTTAACAGTGACGGTTAGCCTGGTGGGACCGGGAGGAAAGAGGAAGCCACCTGCATCAGGGGCACCCACGCTTGGCTCGTACTCTATCGCTCCATCAATACCATTTTCATCAGTGGCGTTGAATTGGCCGGAAGCCATGGTCACCCCATAAAAGGTGTTTGGTGTGGCGGAGCCTAGCTCGATACTAGGCACACACCAAAGCTCGGGTCCATCAGTATCTGTGAGGATAAAACAAAATGAAAGTATTCTTGAGATAAAAATAATTAAAACAAAAGCCAACACAACTTTGACAAAATGTACACCATATATGTGGCTTTTGGCTTACCAATTATGAAAGAAAGTTTTATGAGTAGTGAGCGAAATAAACCAGGTAATCAATACAAATGTCAAGACCATAGTGGTGTATGCCCCCCCCCCCCCCCTCTCGGTGTTATTTAGGACATGTTCCCTCCCTTTGATAGCATCCCCTAAGTCCAGTGTGTTAAGTAAATACGGGGCCGATGTTTTGTGTATTACGAGACGGACTTTGTTGCGTGAAAAGTTCTCCTTTTATCTGATCTCATTGTTCACCAATAAACTTCTACTTTTGTGAACCACCATAAACATATTATAGTTTCTAAAATGCATGTATAAACAGGATAACATTGTGTCCATCAATTATGATGTCATTTTCTATTTTCCATTCCTATATTCTGAATTTATCTGAGTGCAACAAGTATGATAAGGGCGATTCGAATACGCTATCGAAGTATCCCATATATTATGTACGGATTAAGTTATATACCATATGTGACTGGCAAGGCTAGTTAACCTGCTTCATATTAGATTGTATTTGCGAGCTAGCGTATCATCATTTTTCGCCGATCTTACCTGCCACTCTATTTGGCATCATGCTGTGTATTAATTTGTGAATGACACCCCCCCCCCCACCCTCATTTGAAAACTTGGGACAAACATACATGTAGTGTGACCCCTATGCGTGTTATTCATGAGGGCTGACTTAACTTTTACCTGATTAAAAGACATTTTTTAGTATACTGGTCATGAGATCATCGTGTTACAGGTACTGTCAAGAAGTTTATTTGGGAAATTTGGTCAAAGAGTAGATAGGAATATTGACAAGTCAGCTTGAGTAGGCGCACTGGTCCTGTCATAACATTGCTACATAAACTGTCTAGAAGTTCTTGAGGGGGGGGGGGGGTTCATCATGAGAGCAAATAGGAAGAGGGACTTGTGAATTATAGATAGAAATATTAAAGGTAAGATTTAGTATTTGTCATGTGATTGCAGTGCTAAAGAAATGTTTGGGAAGAATAAGGATAATAGAGCGTATAGAACTATTTGTGCAATTTTCGGTGTTGAACCATTAAAATGATGACACATAGACTTATTCTAAATGAATCGCAACCTTCCCCCACCCAGTGGCGGATCCAGGGGGGGGGGGCTGCACCCACCACCATTTATCATCAGAAGCAGGCGCGGATCCAGGATTTCTTAGGGGAGGGGGCCCAACTTATTTTTTTTTTGCTCCCGAAAATTTGAAAATCGTGCCGGCCGAAAGTCGCTCTCGGGGGGGGGGGGGGGGGGGGGGGGGGGGGGTAGTGAGCACATTTTTTTTTTTGGGGGGGGGGTCCTCGAAAATTTAAAAATTTGCACCCCCCCCCCCCTTGAGCGCCAGGGGGGGGGGGGGCAACCCCCTAAAAAGGTAAAAATCACGTGTTTTGGCATGAATTTTTTTCTCAAGGGGGGGGGGGGGGCCGGCCCCCCCCCCCCCCCCCCCCCCTGGATCCGCCACTGATCAGATGAACGACTTTATCTTTTATTTTAGATAATGCTGAATGAAAGTCAACACTCTCCCTGTATAAAGGGACGATAAATAGAAGTTTGGGGAAAACCTTGCCGGAAGATGTAGAGTAATATTTATTTAAAGGCAGGCTTTACTACTTCAACTAGAAGGGATTAGACCACCCAGCGAGCCAGCGAGGTCACTGTGACAGGTGGCTATCTCATTAACTCAGCTCTCATTTAACATAAGAAAAAGAGGATCATGGGGGACCAACAGGCACCGATTGGGGAAGTTTTCTATTTAGAGGGAGCAAGTAGCTACAAGTATAGGACAGTGTGCCTTTAAACTGTCCGTACTAGGTGACGATTGATATCGCTTTCACAGATGAAAAAAGGAAAACGTAGTATCCTGTTTTTACTACCATTAAGCATAACCAAGTTACCCTATAAAGCTAGCAATATAGGTTTCGAATTTGCAAATTAATAAATGAATAAAGGAATGAATAAATAAATGAATAAATTAATGAATAAATGAATAAATGATTATATGAATAATGAATAAAGAAAACAAATGAGTAAATCAATAATGATGAAAATAATAACAATAATAATAACGATGCTGATAATAATTAATGGTCCATTTATGTAGCCATAATAATGCGATGAAGTATCCAAGGAATTTCTTCCTACCGGGTACCAATTCACTTCACCCGGGTGGAGAGTGTCATATGTAGATTAATGTCTTGCCAAAGTGCCGAGGCGGGACTGGAACCGGGAACCATATGACCCACATTAATTATGATAATAAATACAAGTTAATAATGATGAAGTATGAATTGAAAGTTGTGGGGTAAGCAATTTGCAAATAAGATAACTGTGTCTCAAACAGTAAACATTTTTTTTTAATAACAGGTTGTTACTATACTTCCTTAATATTTCTACTACCGTCTGCGTTTTTTCATTTTTTTAATACTCGTTGTGATACACTTTTATCCAACTTACCAAAGATTTTTAGGTGCGCCATTCAATTTTGACAATGTACTTTTGTTCATCTTATTTATACTATTCATAGTGTTGCAATGATGCATACTTTTATCTTTTTATCGCCAATTCGTTTGTAATATTTAATCGTTGGCAAGATTCCCCTTTCTCCCCCCCCCTTTTTTTTAACCTCTTGTCTCTCACTCTTTCTTCCCCTCTCTCTTTTTCGCTCTTTCTCATTTTCTATATCTTTCCTGCTTTTTCTCTTTCTTCACTATATCCCTTGGTTTCTTATCTTCTCTTTCTCTTTTCTCACTTTCATTCCCTCTATCTCTCTCTCTCTCTCTCTCTGTCTTTCTGTTTTTCTCTCACTGACTTTCTTTCTCTTTTTAACCGCTTTCCTGTACACTTTCCCTTCTCTCTTCCTCACTTTCATATTTTGTTCAGGTACATATTCCCCGTTTTCTTCTTGCTCTTTTTTTTGTTGCTTTTATTTTACATTTTGTACAAAATTAAGGATAAACACATGATATATACTTGTACTTATAATTATGTTTATGATACTGTTTAAAAAAGTATACTTTTTGTTAATGCAATGAATATCCATGTGCAATTCAATATATGCAACTGCGATGCATAAGTCAATAAATACCATATCACGTAGAGTTGCGTAGTGTTGCGTACCGACTACGCCGAAGTTAAGCTGCGTACTAATGAATAAATTGATGCTTCGGCGTAGTCCCTGCGTAGGTTATGCGTAGGCTTGCGTAGGATGGCGTATAGTTACGTACCCTGTGCGTAGGCACCGCGTACTTATAGCGTAGGCAATTAGCGTAGGGTTACGTACGCTTGCGTAGGCCTGGCGTAGGGTTACGTACGCTTGCGTAAGTCTGGCCTAGGGTTGCTTACTGTGTGCGAAAGTGCCATGTAAAAATGCAATAGACGCTCGTAGGAGCCGCGAGTGTAGCCATTGGCGCTTTATAAACCTAGTTTTCTGCCCTCAATCCACTGCTGCCTGCTGCCCAGAACACATCACTGCTGGTTGAATTACAGATGACTGATGTAATAACACATGCAGAAAAAGATCATGAGTTTTTTGGGCCCTCGGCAAAACGGTACAATACTCCAGCATCTGGATGCCCTGGAAAGACTAATTAGTCATGTGGCAGAACATGAACGCTTGGGAGAAGAACAAGAACAGAGAAGGAAAGAAGCTAGAAGAAGAAGAAGAAGAAGAAGAAGAAGAAGGAGAAGTGTGTGGGTAAATCCTTGGATCCAGCGCAGAACGCTGAGGATGTTTCGGCATTTACACATTTCATGCGGATGGGACCACAGTATTTCCATGAACTTCTGACACATATTGCACCGAGGATTACCAAACGAGATACTAACTACAGAAAGTCTCTGGAACCTTGTTTAAAGATGGATGTCACCTTGATGTTTCTGGCCACCGGCAAGGCAAGGCACTTCAATATGGATTCCGAGTTGCCCATAACACTATTTCTGTGTTTATCCCACAAGTGTGCCAGGCAATAATCGATGAATTATCTGACGAAGTTCTCATGTGGCCAGATACTCCAGGGGGTGGAAACAAGTGGCCTCGACCACAACCCTTGCCCTTCTTTCCTGGCAATGTTGCAGTAATTAAAGCAGAAATAATTAAATCCTGCAGATATAGTTCAGCAGCGACAATAGAGTCCAGCGGGACGAATAAAATGTAGCACTGCAGGAATAGTAATGAAAAGTTCAGCAGGGATTTGATTTGATTTGATTTATTGGGATCAAGCAGTCATTGTGTCTAGGCTGCGCGCAGGTTGGATCTAGGACATCTTTTTACGTTTGTAATGCTTCGTCGGACTGGCGTAGGGTAGCGTATTGTTGCGTATGCTTGGCGTACAGTTGCTAAGGCTTGCCGTACAGCTGCGTAGGCTTGGCGTACAGTTGCGTAGTGTTGCGTAGACTTGCGTACAAATTGTGTACTTTCTGCGTAAAGTGTCTACGTCGAAGGTACGCGAAAAAAATTAAACATGTTTAATTTTTTGCGTTCATCTCGTGTACCCATTTACGTCCCTCCGCAACTGTACGCCAAGCCTACGCAACAATACGCTACCCTACGCCAGTCCAACGAAGCATTAAAAACGTATAAAGATTTTGTTCGGTATATACTTGGATGTAAACTTGACAGGTATTGATCATTATTTTGAAGGGGAATGCTGTTTTTGTTTACATGTGTGCATTCTCACATTTATTCTTTTCATGAAGAAAAAGTGTTTCTTTTTTTTGCTTGTAATTCTGTTTGTACTACTACAAGGTATGTCAGACTGACATGTTTTGTTTTGTTATGGTTTATTAAATGTGTGATGTTGATATCTCAGGCTGTTGATATAATAAACAAAGTTGAGATTCACAAACTTATGCCTCATGCGAAATGTTATTATGTTCTGTGGAAATT